AAATTAAATCACAAAACAGTGCGGTGTCACTGTTAAGATCCTGGGGTAAAACTGAATGCAGGAGGAAATGCATGATGTTCCTTGGATGCAATGTCATGGGTAACAAAAAAACAACACCGATTGATGGCCAGGGTGATTCCACGCATGATCATTGCAACTACTGATAAGACTCACTGTTATCAAGCACCAGCCTCTATTGGTATGAGGAAGACTTCTGAGCTCACAACAGGAAGAAGGGAATTTTGAATTTTATCATCGCAATGAAACTTGTGCAACACTCAAAGCCAAAGGTGAAAAGGAATAGCATTACAGACACCTGTTGGGGAATTCTTGTCTCTGTATTGGAGCTTTTAATCACTGACTGTATCTTACCTGTAATGTCCCTGTTGAGTTCAGGAAGGACCCGGTCCGATCAAGGGAAGTTTTGGAATTAGCTCGCACTATGTCTAAGCGTGACTGGTAGTCGGGGGGGTGGAGAGAACTCCTGAACACCTGCCAGAGACAGTAAGAGGGGCTGAAAAGAGGTACTTTTCTATAGAGACAAAACTGAATGGAAGCAGCACCTGTACGCAAGCCCACGGGGCATAGCAAACAGTACAATAAGGTCATATAGGTTAAATTCAGGGTATTTTATTTACAGATGCATTAAAAGCAGGGACTCGGATAAAAACACACAAACAGATAGAGAAAGTAAAAATACTCTACAACAAAAGTCACCGACAGCAATGACAGTCTGTTAATGTCACACATATCCTTAAACCAGCTCCAAAACTATTATTTTCATAGCAAACACAACAAACTACTGCTGAAACCACCCCAGTGGCTTTCACTGTGTAGAAAACAAATTCAGCCATGGTTCTCGATCAGGATTATCTACATGCCTGTCATTGTGCCCGTTTCAGATGATTCAATCTCCCATGCTTTGTACTATGAGTCACTGAAAAACAGCCTTGTCTCGATGAGGAGTTTTGCTTCCATATGAATGGAAGGCAAATGATTCAGTGCAAAAACACACAGATGAGATAGCGAGGGGTGGAGGAAAATAACACAAGGGCAACTGCAGGAGGAACGTTGCTCGACGAACATCACTGATCCTTTGTTTTTTCAGGACGTGCTTTCTCTCTTAAAAATAGTACAGCAAACCTCTCATTAAATTGTAAACACAAGCAACCCAGTTAGCATGACTGAATGAATTGTGTGGAATTCAATGCAGGTTACTTCAAACGCTGACGTAAATTAAAGGGTGTGTGCATGTACGAGCAATGACTCAAAGAAAGATGGGTGCATAAGACCGTGTTATTACCGATGTATTAAAATAACCTGACGATGTATATGCATTTGTGTACATTTTTAACCTCAGTATGTCCATTTGGCTAAGGCCAAGGCCACTGTTGAGCAGAGCATCAACTTACCTCCAAGTCCTCCTCCTCGTCCACACTTTGAATGCTTTGGTAGGCCAGGGTGTACACCTCCAAAGCCTTGGCGTGGAATGACATTTCCACTGTCACAAACTCACAAAAGATTTTCTACAGTGAGAGAAGACACGATTATCAAATACTGAATATTTCAATATGGACCAGACAGACCAGTGCACTGTGACAGCAGACAGAGCACAGGATCAGTCCAGACAGTCCACAAAATCAGCTGATATCTTTCTACATATCACAGTAAATCCTACGTAGGGCTGTTTGGTTGTCCACAGTCGCCGCACACATGCTAGCCATATTGCAACAGGCCCTGCACTACTGTTACTTCTGCTTTTCCCCACCTCTGACATTGTTCTTGTGCATGTTGGGCTGTATGTGCATGTTAGGTCATGTTTGCATGGTTACTAAGTCAAAGCAAATCTATGAAATATAAATTACTGCAGACAGCAATAATTATAATAATCTTCCTTTCACCAGAGTTATCCAAACCAAACTGTTATCATCATCATCATCATCATCCCATAATGATACAAGACTAGTTCAATATTAATTAAACCAAGATTTGTACTATATATATGGTCATTTATTAAAATATTTACCTTAAATAAAATGTGCGCTTTTTCTGTGCACTTAAATATAAAAATTAAATTTAAAACTTATATAGAAAAACTTCATGATCGAGATCGGTTCATGAACGTACGTCAGTTTTTAACGCTCGTAAATCAAATGCAATGATTGCTTGTTCATACGTATGTTACACATACACATGCATACACACCAGTGGCACGCCTCTACAATTCTACACCATTAACTGAGGGTGAAACATGGTCACAACAGGAAAATCTTTCCAGATATTTCCATGCTACGTCCAAAGAACCACGATCGACATAA